GTGTGTGTGTGTGTGTGTGTGTGTGTGTGTGTGTGTGTGTCCTCTTACGATAGTAGCATATAGCTTGAATGCATGTAATTGCATGGGTCCTGGAGACCAACTCACGCAAGTGTGTACATGTCATGCATCGTCCTTGCACACAACGATCAAGAGTCTCACACATTAGACAGAGGTAGATGAGAAGAGGACCGAGTTGCACCGCTTATATTATCAAAATTATGATTACAAAGAGTTTCATAGTTCCCTGAGCCCAGCGCTCATCAGCGCAATGTAAATCCCTTGTCAACTCATCAACATGACTTCAGCACATCAGCGCTACTTCTGCAGATTGTATCCAAGTCATCAAGGTGATCACCACTCATCAGCGCCACCTCTGCAGTTCACATCCAACTCAAGTACGTATCTTTCATAGCCAAACCTTGATTGAACACTCTCTGCCTCAGTCCCTTCCTCCTGCGATGCATAAACACTCTTCACTCACAAGGATCTACTCCGAATACTACTCATAGCTATCTACTACTAACCCTCTAAGTCTATACTAACTGGCTGGGCAGCTATGGCTGCATCTCTCCCAGCGCACAGTCTTCCTCCTTCTCATAGCGCATCTTCATCCTCCAGCGCTGCTCCTCCTGACTGGCACACAAGTGCTTCAGCACTTCCACGCACAAAATGCCAGTGGAGATCTGGCGAGGAATGAGGCTGGCTGCTGCCTTTATAGTGTTGGCCTTTCCTCGTTGGGTCTGCATTTGGCTGCTTCAGGCCTCCCTTTGTCCCAGACCCTGCATTGCATGTGTCCTTTTGGTATTGGATTGGGAATTCACTAGTCCCCAAATGAAGCTTATGTACTTGATCCGTGTTCAATCGATCAATGGGTCTACGAGGACGCCATCCCAAATGTAACTCCATAGGAGTCTTACAGGTAGATAGATGTACAGAGTTGTTATAGGCACTAGCAACTTTAGGCAAATGTTCATCCCAATCAATCTGATCGGGACGGATGTACATGCGCAAAGTTTGCTGCAATATCTTGTTCATCTGCTCAGTCTGGCCATTAGTCTCAGGATGTCTACCTGAAATACACATTTCGTAAAAAATGAACTTTTTGTCAAAAAATGAACTATTTCGACTGCGAATAAACACTCAGTACATGGCCCAATAGGGCATCATGCGACACTTTAAATGGTCAGTATATGAGGTGTTGACATGGCAAATGTTGCGGCAGGGCGTTTTGAGCCCTTCATACATGAATAGTCGTTATTAAATGCGAATTAACACAGTGTAAAAAAGGGCAGGGGCTCTTTGTATGACACCTTGACAATGTTGTCCTGACTTAGTGTTGATGTGACAGACAGTACACGATTCAAAAGGGCATCGTGTTGGGTATGTGGTGCCTGTTTTCCATAAAAGGTCAGGGGTCCGGCGCCCGACACCTTGCAAGTTGATGGACTGAACCTGTCAACTGTGGTCGGGGGGAACACCCAGCCTGGTGCACGACATTTGGCAAGTTGAACCCGCAACCCGTCAGTACCCCTGCAACAATTGTGTCCACCATTTATCTTCCCGGAAGGACCTGAGGCTCCTTCTTCGGTTGACAAATAGTAGTTGAACAGTGTCACCGAATGATTCGGGAGTTAGTGGTGTTCGACAGAGCACCTTAAGGAAGTGGCAAATAGTCGTTCGCTGTCGATGCCGATTGCCAATAGCACTGTTAGGGGGCCTTGATGCTGGTTCCTGATCTGTTTGGCGATCGAGCAGCTTGAAGAAGTGTGAAAGAGTCATTGGTTGTCTGTGTGGATTGTTATTAACACTCTTAGGGAAACTTGATGCGATATCTGATTCCAGAGAGAGAGAGAGAGAGAGAGAGAGAGAGAGAGAGAGAGAGAGAGAGAGAGAGAGAGAGAGAGAGAGAGAGAGAGAGAGAGC